TTAACTCAACGAACTAAAACGATCCCTCATTAATCTGTATTTGAAAGATACATAATAAAGATTATAGCTGAATAAAGAGAAATACATATGAATAATATAGTTGAATACAACAAAATACACCTTAATTCATCTGAATAAAACACTTGAATACAACAAAAATACAACTGAATACAACTAAATAAACTCTTGAATGCAACAAAATACAACTAACTTCTGCTGAATAAAATAGTTGAATATAACTAACTACAACTGAATACAGTTGTATAAAATACTTGAATACAACTAACTACTACTGAATAAAATAGTTAAATACAGCTTATTAAACCTGAATACAAGTGAATACAGCTGAAGAATACATTCGAATACAACTGAATACAAATAGGCGATTTGGGCGATCTAGAGAGAGAAACAGCCCTATGGCTTCGCCGGCCGGTGGCCAGCCATTAATTCGGGCTCGTCAGCCCCCTAACACATCTACAAAAACTCCAGCCTTGGAAGTTCTGGTGCAAGAAATCGCAGCCGCTGCTACTCGGCTTCGTATCCTCATTCCTATTTGTCGCTCAGGCTCTCAGAGGTGGTTCAAAATGCTTACTAGCCACATCAGGCGGTAATGCATCATCCTCTCCGGGGAGAACAACTAGGCCTTGTTCTCTAAGAGAAGAAGACTCATTGTAGCCGGTATTCCAGAGGGAATCCACAAGCTGCCGCTCTTCTTTGGCAGCACCAAAATCTTCAGGTGACATAGCGGAAATCCCCTTAATTCGCTCCAGGAGTATTTGCTTGAGTTTTTCATCATCTTCACTTGACAAGCCATCTGCACGTTCGTGACGCAGAGCAGAAAATTGAGAATTTGGGTGGAAGAAGAGTTAAGAAACTAGGGTTTGTGGGAGAAGAGAGTCTGGTTATATGCAAACAGAGAGAGATTGTATTGGGGTTTGCAGATACGCGGTAATTATGTGAGAGAAAATACAAAAAAGGAGAGAGAAAAATAATATTTAGCATATATGGTGCCTTAATTGTAGGATGTAACTATATTTAGATTTTTTGCTATAAAGGATAAAGGTATTTATAGGATGTAATATTTTAAAATGGTATTTATTTAAAATAAATAGGGTATTAAGATTTTCTATAGGGTGTAAAAATTCCATAAAACTATTTACCCGGTTTTTTCTTGTCAACCATCTTTCTTTCTTTTATTGTCCAGTTCTGGGTCAGTCCCATCTACCACATTNCCCCCCCTTGACTATTCTACAATTTACACCCCATATTTTTCTTCTTCTTCTTCTTCTTCTAATTTTGTTCACTTTTGACAAATCGCGGAATGAAAGTTAAGAGTCCGTTTGGCCATGAATTTTATTTAATTTTTCTCAATTTTTTTTTGCTTTTTTTCAAAATTAATGTTTGGCTATAAAATTTTTAATTTTCACTTGAATATAAATTTTAGAATTTTCTAAAATTTGAAAAATTCCAAAAAACTATTTTTTAAAATTTTCACTCAAATCATTTACAAAAATTCAAAAACAACCAAAATTATATTCATGTCCAAAAACAACTCTAATTTTTAAATACCTTTTCACTTGGAAAAGTGTTTTTTTTTTTTTTGAAATTTTACGATTCTTATGTCTAAACGCCCACTAAGTTTATGTTTAAGTTCGAACTAAAGTATTAAATTTAGTTGAAGTGCAACTTTTATGTCTGTGTATGTTCTTGTGAATTGAATTAGAAATAAATTCATTTATGAGTCAATTAGGATTATCTACTACTGCAAGTTGACTGACGAAAAGTTAGAAAGTTATACAAATTGCAATTATTGTTTATTACCTTAACCATATTCAAAGTGGGTGTTGTTAAATATTGTTTATAGTACCTTCTGGAAGTTCATATTGAAATTTGAAAGCATTTGGAGCTGATTTGTGGTGATTGAGATCGAAATTTTCAGTTGAAAATCAAAGAAGAACACAGCTATGGTATACAATATGATGTAGGAGTATATAGCTATACTGCAACAGTATACTGCTACGGTATACAATATACTACAACGGTATATTGTAATAATCGAACAAGAACATAATTACCTAACAATATAGCGTTACAGTATACAATATACTATAGGAGTATATAGTCATACTGGAACAGTATACTATTATAGTATACAATCTATTTTTATAGTACACTGTAATAATATGCAATATACTGTAACAGTATGTTGTAATAGTATACAATTTACAATAATAGTATACTTATTACACTTAAATTCACTTGCCTTTTCCCTTTTAATTTGCTTTAAGCTTTTACCCAGCATGAGGGGCATATTGAAAATGCAAAAAATAAAATAAAATTATAGTGATATATAATATAATGGTATACTCTTACAATTAGTTCCTTTTAGAATTTTTTGAATTTTTTATTGACAATTGATTTTATTTCAGTGTAATAATTGAATTAGATTTTTTTTAACTCTTTGCGTACAATTGTATACCCTGTTGGTATAACTATATATTATACTGGTATCATATGTTAATTAATATTTTTTTTGGTTGTATTAGCTACATTTAATTGGTACACAATTTGATTTTTCTTTAGTAATAACATAAAAAAAAGAATAATAAAAAATAGTGAAAACAACAAATGAAATTAGATTATGAAGAGAAAAAGAATATAAAAAAAGAAGTTAACTGAAACTAGAAAAGGAAAAAAGAAAAAAATAAGAAGAAAACGAGAAAAAAGAAAAGGAGAAAAGAAAAAAAATAGAAAAGAAAAGAAAAGAAACATAGAAATAAAAAAGAATTGGAGAATAAAGAAAAAATTTCCCACAAAACTTACTATGGGTAGACAAGGATAAATAGTTTTATTTTTGTGGATAACTGTGTTAAAAACCCTATTTTCTTTTCAAGATATAAAAAGTACTTTCTTTTCATAATTTAGAAAAAGTATTTTCATTCATTTCAACAAAATGAGTATTGTTTTTTGCATGACGTAGAAAAAGTATTTTCTTTCATTTTAACAAAAAAAGTATTTTCTTTTCATGATGTAGAAAAAGTATTTTCTTTCATTTTAACAAAAAAAGTATTTTCTTTTCATGATGTAGAAAAAAATATTTTTTTCATTTCAACAAAATGAGTATTTTCTTTTCATGATGTAGAAAAAGTATTTTCTTTTATTTCAATAAAATGATTACTTTATTTTCATGTTGTATAAAGAGTACTTTCTTTTTCAACCAAAAAAAAGAGTATTTTTTTTATAATCATGGAGCATAAATTCCAACGTTGTTTTGCGTAAAAAAGTAAAGCAGCACATTAGTTCATTTGAGTTTGTGTGAATTTTTAGAAGATTAAATTATTGAAGAAAATAGGTCATGAAAACATTGGGTATTTGGGGGAGGGGGAGAGCAAGAAAACACGGGGATGGGGAAGGGGAGGGGGGTGAGGAAAGTAGTATAAAAAATATTTTCTTTTAAAAAATATTTTATACTTTCTAACCAAACACTAGAAAATTTATCGGAAAATACTTTTCAATCACCAACCAAACAAGAGAAAATATAAGTGATAAAACCACTTATTTTTCATGAAAACATTTTCTAGAAAAACGTTTTCCTTAGTACCAAACACACCTTTAGTGGTTATTCATAAGAATACCGAACAGTAACATGACTTTGTAAGCATTCGTATATCTTGAATAATTGCAGTTCATCGAATTCTAATACTATTAAATTAAAGAAAAATGATCACCTTATAGTCATAGAGATGCAGATTGGTATGATTTTTTGCACTATTAATTACTTAAGGTCAATGGAAACAACTGTTTAAACGAAGTTGAAATTGAAACTTAAGAGGCAGAATTAAGTGGGTCTTTTATCTCATCACGCAGTGTTAAAACCACATAAACCAACCACAAACAACCACATAAGTGGCCTCATGTCAAATCACCCGGCGGCGTCGTATCAATTAAATTTTGTTGCTTTATCTGTAAAAAAACTAACCAAATCATCTCCAACATTTCTTTTTCTTTCAGCTTCTAGCTTTAGCTTTTAGGAAATTAAGAAAAAGACAAAACTTTTTCATTGTTAGCATACTGTAAAACGTGGTGTAAAGTTTCATCCTTTGTTTTTCATATCGANTATATATATATACTTTCAGCTATTTTCGCTCATCTAAGTCTCTTGTAGGACTACAAGAGGATCGCACAAACCAAAGTGAAAAAATATTCAGCAATATGTTCAGAATGTAAGTATATATTGCCAAGATAAGTGGAAAAACTTAGTTTAATCCATTGTCGTAAATTGCAACATGGAGTCATGCTCAACTACTCACTTTTCTTTTGAGTGACTCCACGCCATTCTTTTGTACAGTGCCACAGTTTCTACAACACAACCAAAATAAAAAAAGTTCGACATGACACCAAAAAGAAAAGGGAAAACCTATTTTATAAATGACAAGGGAAGTCGTCAAGATTTTAGATGATTTCATTGTTGGAAAGTTTGAATGACTTATAAATCTCCAAGTTCTTTAAATCTAAATCTTCCTCGCTTCTAACTTACATGTTAAGCATTGCGCTCTTAATCACTAGGATTCAAATACGTGATATGCGCCTAACTTACATATTAAGCATTGCGCTCTTAACCATTAGATCAATGCCTGGGGCATGATCTTTGCTTTGTCTCATCATCCTTTCTTTGGAGATTAATAATGCTTAAATAAATCCAATTTTGAGTCAAAAAGTCATTAAAGAAATTAAGTGTATGATCCACCATGATTTTATGTAGAATCACCTAACCTATTCTATTCTTTAACTTTTGCTTTCTCATATTCTAATATTTCGTTTCAAGAACATGAGGATCACTTGAGCGAAATTATTTTATTTGTAGTTAGACTTTAGTCCACTTTTAATTAATTAGTAGGAAGACTTGCATTATGGCAAGAAAGCATGAGTAGATATGTGGGCCTAGAAGAATTGATAAAGAAAACGTTCACTTCTTGCAAAGCTGAAATGATGCAACTTGATAAAAAATTGTGTTCCTCCAATTGTCTGCCAGAGAGTTTAATGGAGGAATAGAATATGAGCTAAGGATTGGATTATTATTTTACTTATCTGTCTTTTGGTTCCTTGGAGTACCAAAAGCACCAAAAACTCACTCTATTATAATGCCTGGCTGAACTGGAAACTATCTGTTGCAGCTTCATAAAGGAGACATATTATCTGTCTTGCACACCATGGAAGTGATAGAGATGAAATTTCCTCCTGATTCATCAATATTCTTTAACAGCTAGATATTAAATTTTAAGCAGCAAATTAAGGTAAAATCATAGTGCTATTGTTTGACTCAAAGATATCAGAACCTTTTTGAGTAAATCAATCAAAAAAAATAAAGGGGTAAATCTTAGTCAGACATAATAAATTCAAGATCAAAGAACTAACAGAATAGATAATATTATAAGATGAAATAGATATAATCGATCTTATTGAAATTGTGGCTCCCATCAACCGATGGGAGAGGTAGCTTTACATGTGTTTCTGAGGATTACTTCTTTCCTATGAAGATTGAAGAGAGCTTGGGGAGAGAAAGGGAAGGAGACCACCCCACATCGAGGGTTTTTCCCTACTATATATAATCAAGGCACCCTTGTTATTTACTTGGTCTGACGCTCTCTCGTACCAAGTGAGCCTTGATCGTTCTTTAGACATTGCTCCTTCTGACTCGACGGGTGTCAAGAATGGGATGTAGAGTGGACCATGTTATCTTTTATTGCCCTGTCACTTGGGCGGGACGTTGGTCAGCTCAGCCATGACGATCAGATTTTGACCAATACATCTATTTTTTTGAATTACCCAGGGTTTTATCTTCCCTAAATAAAGAAGGACGCTAATTAAGTTTTGGCTCAAATGTACATGCAAAAGGTGCTAATGAATTCGCGCACTTAGGCCCGTTGGGACAATATTAGGTTGCAATTGGAAAAGGGATATTTGAAGTCAAGTTAATAAAGATTGTTTGGAACTTGAAATTGGCATTAGACATGAATTTCCATTGGAAATAAAGTTAGAAGGTTCGTAAATGAAAATTATTCCAGTTTTAATATTTTTTCCAAATAAGTTTTTCAATATCTCTATTCCAAGTTGAAGTCAAAATAATGTAGAAAGAATTGCAAAACAATTTTCAGTACTCTTGTGTATATTCGGATTTAATTATTGGAACTTGAGGATCAGTTTCTAGCTTGTTCTTTCTAACTCCTAGATACAGTTATTAAAGAAGTTACGATTTGATCATTATTGGCAGAGGAAGCAAGAGAAAAGAAAAAATAATCAAACACATCAATATAAAATCTTCTGATAAGAGTATTTTATATATCTTGTTTGAGTTACAAGAAAGATTCTTTCAGCTGGAATTCATCAATTTTGTACAACAATTATACACAAACATTCAAGCTCAAACCACAAATAATAAACTATAATAGACTGATCTGATACATAAAAAATTAAACTCACCTTTCCTTTTTTCATATAATCTTGGACGAAACATGATCATCATAATAAATCATCAACACTCAGAAACAACTTCGCCGCCATCGACTTCTCTCCTGTGGAAATTCCGGTGGCAGCCGCAAGCAGCGCATGTAAGAGCGGCGGTCGTCCCATCCTCTCCGCTCGCCATGAATTCACGGCAGCCGTCTACGGCGTAGCCTCCGATATTCGCCGCATGGTTCCTTTGGCACTCAACGTATCGTATGTTCCTAGTCGAGGAACCTCCGATGTTCCTTCTGGATCCGTCTGTTCTCACAACCACTTGCCTTTTTTTCATCATTCTGAAAAAACCCTATTTGAATTTTGACTTATATAGATAAGGATACTGATTTTAGATTGAGTCCTTCTACGGGATTCTTTACTTTGAAAGGATCGAGAGCTAGAAAATAAAGCTTAGTCTTCTGAATATAAACCTAACCCTAGCATGTTAATATATACTAGCAGCCTTGCTTGTTTCAACATCAAAAAGGAAAAAAAAAGATGGTAAAGGGACAAGACTTAGGAGAGGTTGGGCTGGGGACTGGGGCCGTGGGTGTGGGAGGAGTATATGCTAGGATAGACAATGGCCTTTTTCAATCATTGTTTCTATACTCCTTGGTCCAAAAATTAGGCAAGATTCTCTGATCACGCATACTACAAATTTCACCTCACCATATAAAAAATAACACATATGTGTAAACTTGACTTCTTTTTATTCTCTCTCCAAATTTTTTTTTTAAATTATTCCCTCTAGCTCTACTCATGAGCTCCCCATTTTTTCTGGATGACTCGAACTCACAATTTTTAATTAAAAAATGAAGGGTGCTCACCACTTGAACAACCTAGTCTTATCATTTTTATGTTTTTATTTTCCGATTTAGACGGGGAGGAGCGGAAGAGATTGATATGTCTTAAAAAGTTGGACAGGGATATACTTTTATATTGTTTTAAAAGGGGAACAATTAAGCATATAACAAGGTAAATAAGGTTTCTCTATCCTTAATTAGAGATTTGAGATTTGAACTTTGACAATAAACCAATTCCTCTTTAAGGAACGCTTCCGCTATAAATTGACCCTACGGACCGGAAGAGTTGATGGATTCCAAATACTGAGGGGTCGTTTGGTTAGAAAGAAGTTATACAAGGATTAATTAACCCGTGATTAGTTATTTTACCTTTTTATGGGATTAAAAAATATTACAATCCCGGGATAACTAATTTCGGGATTAATTATACCGTAATTTTCTCTCAATTAAACATGGGATAAACTCTTCTTAAATTTAATCCTGGGATTAATTATTCTTTATTCATCATACCAAACGAGCCCTAAAAGACTAAAAAAAGAATTGCAAGGTTAGCAAACCACAAGTCAATTAATAAATTGTATTATTCCTTCTGTTTCAATTTAGATGAGCTAGTTTGACTCGGCACGAAGTTTAAGAAAAAAAAATATGACTTTTGAAACTTGTGGTCTTAAAAGCTTAAGCGGTAAAAGTTTTATGGAGCCATGACATTTATGTGGTTATATATAAAAACTTATCATTAAGGGTAAAACAGGTAAAATGAAGAGTTTAAAGTTGAATTATTTTTAAATTTAGAAATGTGTGGAGTATTAAGTATTTGAATCTTTTCTTTTTTCCGAGTACAATATTAGACGTTTTTTAGAATTTGAATCTTTTCTTTTTTCCGAGTACAATATTAGACGTTTTTTAGAATTTGAATCTTTTCTTTTTTCCGAGTACAATATTAGACGTTTTTTAGAATTTGAATCTTTTCTTTTTTCCGAGTACAATATTAGACGTTTTTTAGAAAGGCATCGGTGGAGACGTTAATGATGGAAATCTTGGAATGAGGATTGGAAATGATCGCTCAACTGCTTAGTAGTTAGTAGAATATATATAGAAGAGAAAGATGGTGATTTTTATGTTAATTAGTTCGTCGTTAAGCTGATGGGAAATGCCTTGCTTTACTGGCAGAGAGAAAAAGTGATTGATTTAAGTTTAAGATATGTGCTAATTCCACAATCTGTGGGTCCTTAATGACATTTAAATGCCAGGTTACTATGGCCCTTTTCCACTGTGTCAACAACTCTTCCCTATTAATTTTATAGTAGCATCCATAATCACAAATTCTTCAACCTAACCATAGATCGCCAGAAACTAATATTCTTATTTCTAGGCTCCTCTGACCCATCAGGAAAATATATCGTAGGTTTTTTAGACAGAAATTACTTGCATTTAGTATTAACACTTAAGTAGTTTCCAAAAAATAGCTTATTTTAAGGTTTCTCAACTTTGTGACGTCACTTTGCAAAAACTTTCAAGCTAAAAGTTTTTTTTTTTTTTTTTTTTTTTTGTGGATTGTAATGGTTAGGAATGTTTGATACCTAATATTGTATACATACAATAATAATAAACTCGGTAAAATCTTATCAGTAAAGTCTGTCTGTCAAAGATAATATGTAGACATTATTTATTCCTAGCTTGAGAAAGGACCGGGTATCTACTACCTTATATTGTATGATACCGCAAAAAGGCCAGCACACATTCTTTGATACACGTGAAATATGCTTATGTAACTAGTTGTGGTATGTAGAATTATGGTTTTGCTAGGACAATAAGAAGGGTGCATACCGATGACATCGAGCCCATGTGACACCTCGGTTTTTTATGAAGTAAATGGAGCAATAGACATAAAGGTAAGGAACTGGAATCGAGGCAAGAAACCCCTCGAATCGGGATAAGAGCAAAACACCTGCCCTCGGAAATATCGGGACCATGGCCCCTATGCCGGTTTGAACCCCAAAGTCCATGGAGAGCATTACCAGGTAATCGAGCACGACCAACAAAAGGTCGTGATATTCGTGACCAGCCGAATATCACGACGTGAATCTCTGCACGTATCGACAGAGAATTGGTGATTAGTTAAACGGAAGATTTTTACCTTTTATACGTGAGATAAAACTCCCCTACGATATAAATGGGGGCCTGATTATTCATGAAAGACATCGTAACACGCACATTAATGCAATATATTTTTATTTTCTTTGTTATTAAAAGTTCTCACTTTTGTTCATCAAGTGGTTCGTTATTGTGAGCCCGGGATCGAAAACAGGTATTTCATTAAGGCTGTTATCGAGTTCGGTTTCACCCCCCACAATTGGTTTGATATTTTATTTACGTCTTTTATTTGTCTAATCTAATGTAATTTATCATTTGTATTGAATTAATTCACATATCATTAAAATCACGTATAAATTCAATTGTTATCCGCTTTGCTATTACGAAAGATTGAAAAAACCAATAGAAAGCTTGAAGAAGGAACAAATTATGTTTTAAATTCTGATTGGGTGCAATGATCGGTGAAGAATTATTCTATTGATATATGAACGATGGATAGACTAGTAGCATCGAGAATCACCTCCACCATAGGTGCAAATGAGCAGACAATAGACAAAAAATAAAGAGAAACATACGTTTTCAAGAAGCACGTGCCTTTATTAAGTGATATTGGACGAAGGGTATTGTTTACACAACAAGGGGCCACTACAAGATCAATCAAGAATTCTTAAAAGAAAACTCCCTCCAGTTAATTTTTTTAAAACAAAAACATAAACTTTTCCCTTCTTTTTTCATGTTAAAAAGATGAAACTGAGGAAATAGGAAAATCGACGAGTTGAAAAGGGATGCCATTGCGTGACTATGTAATAAACGTACTGCTTGCAGTTTTACTCTGCACGATACTATCATAGATCCAGATTTTCTTGATCCCCTACCCCCACCCCCACCCACCCAAAAAAATCAATAATTGAAATCATCTTTCATTTTCCAAGCCAGTCAATTCAGAGATTTCTCTTTAGTCATGAGAAATTCCAAGCAGTGTCCCAGTTGTACTCTAGTTATCTCCATAAAAAGGTAAAGATTATGATATGAAAATTATGAAGAGTCAACAACACATCTCGATGGAGTAAGTCATAGGGAATTAACAATTATTATCGAAAATAACAAGTCTCGAGAGAACCATAAACAAGGGCAGCAGGATGAGTAAAACTAGGGAATATTTCCAGAAAAGCTAATACAAAAAGGGAGTGGGGAACCATACTATTGTTAATTTTTACTAAATAGACTAAAATAAGTGTAAAAAAAAAAAGTTACCAAAGTATATATAACGCCACTAATAGTGGCGCTATATAGTAGCGTTAACTGTACCGTTACTGTATAGCGCCACTATTAGTGGCATTATACTGAGAAACTTACATAGCGCCATTAATAGTGGCGCTATATGTCTTTTATCCTGACCCCACCAATAATGTCCGGGTTCAATAATTTAAATGTGTATAACGCCACTTTTTGTGGCGCTATAT